ATAAATGGAAATTATTTATTTGCATTGGATGACCCACATAAAGGAACACTGAAAAATCTGCTACATCATGAATGTCCTTTTCAGCTGTGATATTTAAGCATATTAAATATATTTAGCTCTGTCTCTAAAGGATAAATCATTCTGATTTGTTCTGGCTCACTAAGCATGAAGTGTTCAGGTAACAGTTCACCATCTTGTGGATACATGCAAAATACTGCTTTGAATGCTTGAGGAAAGTAACGATTTTGCTAAGTCACAGCATGCCTAGAAATACAATGTTATTTGGTGGCTTTGGGAAGCAAAGAGCTACATACTGGACTACATACATACAGCAGCTACGGAGGGCTCACAGTCATTTCTGACATAGCAGTATGATGTAGTGTGTTTTCTTCTGCTACTGAAACAAAAGTGTATGTCTGTGAAACAAAAATTTTATTCTCCTCTCAAGCAGAATCCAAAGCTTTTATCTTTTCCCTGTGATTCCATTTCTCTACTATTAGGCTAAGGGTAAAAGTTGACAATTTTGCTAGAGATAATCCTTCAGAGCAGATCTGCAACCATATACTGGGAATTGTGGGCGGAGTACCAGAGCAATAAGCACTTACTTGAAAATCCTGAAAAACTGCTACAGAAGAAACATTATTAAAAACATTTCTTTGAAACAGATAAAGGCACTTAAGACTTATGCCCAGAATTAAAGAAAATCATGACACATAGCAGCAGCACTAAGAAGTTTAGTGAATGTATTTCGTTGAAGATGTAATCAAGAAGTTGGTTTTATTAGTATGTCCTTTTGTATGAATCTGAGAAATGATAAGCAGTCAACACTTGAATCCCTACACACCTTATAAAAATGCCTCAAGGTTCTTGTGACTAACTAAAGCTGAAGCCACTTCCAGCAAATGAATCATTTGTGTTTTATCACATAATTTGTATCTGAAAAAAATTCAGGTCACATAACACAATGATTGTTCCTGGGACAATTAGGGCTGTTTCTAACTAATTTAGCTATCTGTGTAGAAGCAAGCTACATTTAGTTCACCAAATCAGAAAATCGTTGGGTTGATTGAAGTGTTTGTTCCTTAAGAAAGACATACAAAACCTCCAACATCCATTGCTATTGAAAAGTAGCTGGGATCAAGCAAATAAGATCGTGCGTTTTCCTTTCATTTGGTGGTGACTCCTCCTTTTTGGATCATTCATTTATATCTGGCCTGTTGCTGAACCTGTGTCTTTAACTAGGCTCCGGACATGCTGAGAAGTAAAGCTGTGTGTTTGTGGCACAGATCCAGTGCCGAAGGAACAATAAATTGGTGAGAAAGCAGAACTGCTGGATTCACACCAAATTACTCAGTAGTTCTGTAGACTTGATAAATTTAATTTGCATGTTGTTGGGATATTATCATCTTTAATGACTTTCTGAGAAGTCCAGGTAGCACCAGGTGGACTTCAGGTAACATCAGTGCATCTTCAGCTTACAAAGTGACACATAAGCAGCAACTCTTCTACAATTTGCCAATTTGCCTTCTTTCTTATCAAGTTTCTATGCGTCTGCCACTGCAATGATCTTTTAAACACTGAAAATAACTACAACTGTCCATCCGAGTTCACCAAGTACCTTTCCACTCTCATCAATTCCACAAATCTTTCTTTCAGCTGCTACTGTATGCCTTGATCTCACTTCAGAAGTTTCTTTCTATCAACAGCCTGCAGGAAACATTGTGTGGAGGTTCTGTGAATTGTATCAGACAGGTAAAAGCTGGCACTTGAATAATTTATGTCAGCAGCACATTTGCAGTAAGTAACTTGGCCATCAGTGGCAGAACAGCATCTTAACAAAGATCTAGGTAATATTGAAGAAGTCTGAAGAAATTATTTTGATTACTTATCAGTGCCACACAAAATGCAGAGATGTTAACACTGATGCCAGTAGCTAACCTATGCCAATGTCAGTTCCTTATCACGTGTATTGCATTTAATGCTACTTTGCCCCATTTCTGTAAAATTATTTCCGATTAACTGATTGACTTTTTATCGTCAACAGTGTAAGTTGCTAGGCTGGCATTTGAATTAAAAGATGAAGAAATACAAAAAGAAAAACGAGGCTGCTAGTTGACAGAACAGCCATTGATCAGTCACAATGGAAAAATACTGTTTCATCAAGAGGGCCTCTCTGATGCAGCATCATGAAAACGTAACTTGATTTCCTTTCCCTGACTTCCAAATGCAATATCGCATGTGCAAACAATAACTGAAAATCTAGTCTGATTACTAGTCCTACAAAAATGAAGATTCGTACTGTTGGGTCAGAGCCTGCTCACAGCTGAACAGCTTACAGCATATGAAAAATGAATGCAGTGCTGCCACTGGAGGCGACTGCAAACATACCTGCAAACTAACACTAAAAACTGTAAGACCTTCTCTAGAATTTACTTTATTTTTTTTTTTAATTTTATTTCCAAGGTAAGGAAGACAACTTGCTGAGTGTAAGCCACTACTTGCCTATGCCTTATAGGAGATACCATCTCCTAGTGTAAATGTGGGGTTCATAATCACTTCTAAAGCATATATAAAAGATATTTCTCTTTGATATGTTGTTCAAAGTGAAAACCCTGTTTCCAAAATTAGAAGTTCTAATAGGGGAAAAAAAATACAAGGGGGTGAAGATAGAATAAAAGATAGTAGTGTGCTATCTTTGGAATGAATATGATCTGATGTGACGATAATAGGAGATTGATTATATTTTTCATTTTGGAAGAGCTACTGTGCATTCCTACTGTTATAACAACAGCACCAATTATGTATACACTTCCTTTTAACAATATTTTTCAAAGTGCTTTACAAAGGATGTTAGGATCATTATCCTGACTTTACTGATAAGAAAATCAAGAAACAGACCACTGAAAAAATAACTAACTGAATGTCACCTGGCAGACAAGTGGAAACAAAAATTTTCAAGTTCCAGTCTTTTGGCAAGACCACAGTAAAGCTTTCAAATGCTATCATCCAACCAGGTGAGTGTCCACAGAATTTATAAAGGCATTGATTGTGCTTTTCTGACAAGCCTGGCTTGCAAGTGCCTACTAAATATTACAGTAAGGAACCATTACTGACTATTAAAAGGATCTCCTTTAGCAAAGCCATCCAGTTGTTAATAGCTGGCTGGAGCTCAAAATTCCAGTTTGAATCAGTCTGTCTCTTTTAAATGCCCTTGGTCTTTCCCAGCTGTGACATTTATGATAGAAATAAGAAGGATAGGCAGTGATACTTTTCTGATGTCTGGTGTAGCCATTCCCCTATGCTTTCACAACCCAAGGAAATCCAACATGTAAAACTTCAATACTTCCCCATGTCTGTTACCTCCTTAGCCATTTGGTGATACTACTTCTTTAAAAGAAATAGTTTTGAGAAAGGACAACCCAAGTAAAATTCCCTGTTGAGAGAAAAAAAACATTCACAAGCTTTGTCAGACATGGCATCAGTCGCAAAAATGTTGGCTTTCTCAGAATTACAACAGCTAGTTATTGAAGCTAAAGATCTCTATCCTAGGTAGGAACTGCAAGTATGTTCTTTGCCCCCTCACCACCTCCGCTTGCCTCCTCCATTAAAGACTGTTGACTGCTTGTCCCAGAAGGCAGCTGCTCTATTGCCATTCTAACTCAAAGTTACACCTGCTACAGAAATTTTCAACCAGGCCACAGCTGCCAGAATCTGGTCTCTTCATATATCTCAGGCAGCAGAAAGAATTATAATCAGCGCAGAGAATCTGCCCCAAAATGTACAATGCAATATGTCATCTGACAATGAATACATAACAATGAATACATAAATGTATCATTGTCTGCATGCATGCAGTATCTCCACCAAAGAACCATTTCCTGTTTCAGATTTGTAGTAGCGGGCCACATAATTTTCTTTTTTGGTAATAATTCAGCAGTATTTTGTTCAATTTGTCAAGTTGCAAGAACACTTAAAACTGTTACTCAGAACAAGTTTTATTTTTGGCATAAGAGTGACTCTAGCTTTGAATTTAACACATGCAATTTATATTTGTAATTAGAAATTACATTCTGAAACACTGATCAAATACGATAACACTGCTGTGTGTAAGTGATATGCACACAAACACGAAGTATTTATAGGGTTGTAAAGTATGTTTAGAAAGCCAAACCCTGTCACCTTGTACTGACCTAAACTCCCACCGAAGTCTTTAATACATGATTGCTACAGCTAAGTTTTTATGATTTCCCCTTCTGGATGACAACAAAACCACTGATGTTCTGCACTATGTGCTATCTCTGCTTTTATCAAACGTAAAAATTCATGTTCTACTGGATTGCTTACTACAGCATTACAAAATATAAGAATCTGTTTGTTTGGCTTTTTTTCTGCATGTGTGCCTTCAAAGTATCCTTCTACCGCAGCAAATAATAACGCTCACTAACTCTCTGCACCATCCCCTCCAACCTTTATTACAGGACATTATTTCTGCTACTGTTGTAAAAATCTTGAGGACATTCTGTGATATCCTACCCAACTATGAGTAGTCACAACAGAAGAGAAGCACGATGATCTAGCTTTTCTTTAGCAAAGGAAAGCCATCTATACAAGAATAAAAAAATGTTCATTTATTTTGCTTGAGCACTGTTTTCCTGATTCCTGTTTTTTTCCCAGCCCATTGAATGTTCAATTCCCATTGTACAATAGACTCAAAATACAGGAAGGATATGATCAGTGGGCTTGATTTCAAAGATGTGGAACTACCACTGAACTAGATCTGTCTGAGTTTAAATGGCCCCAGGGCACTTCATTGCTTTGGAATGGATTTACAGATCCAACCGTTTAAGCACAAAGACATAACTTTGAATGTATAAAACCATCCCACAAGTCCTTGCTTGTTAAAAGATTGAGGCATACACGACATTTGCTTAAAATGCCAGAAACACGTTAATTTCAACTAATTTTAAAATCAAACAGTTTTGCAGTCATTCATTACTAACCTGGCTGTTAAAGTTGGAGAAATGACAACAGAGGTAAAAATCTCTACCATAGCCATTTTACAAAGATCAGCTGCAGATCCTATGAAAGAAAGTGATATGCTTTTAATTTAAAGCATGCAGAAGGAAAACGTTCTTCTTGGAACTATGGCATAGGAATGAAAAACATCTGAATATTATGAATTATGAGAATTTGCAAAACTAGCAGATTCGATTCACGTAATACGTGAAACAGATTAAGAAACAACAAACTAAATAACTACATGTTCATTAAAACCAGAAAATAATAATATGAATTTATGTGTTAATTAAATGTGAATTTGTCAGTCATGGCCATGAGTTGAAAAATTGCTTATTATAAAAAATGTCTGAAATCCTCTAACTCTAAATCGGAATTAAAATCTACCCATAAATCAATTAAAATGTAATGTCACAAAAGAAGCTTAATTTTATGCTTTTTCATATTTCCATGTGTATGCAATCTATGACATCTTGCTTTTAGCATCCAATGAATTTTGAATTCTTTCTTCCAAATAGTTCAACTTCCAGAGTAGGGATAAAGAACAGCCAGGTAGGCAAATGGTAAGGGCACTCTGCTAGGAGGTGATCATAGAATCACAAAATATCTCAAGTTGGAAGGGACCCATAAGGATCATTGAGTCCAACTCCCCACTCCTCGCAGGATGACCTAAAACTAAACTACATGAGTAAGAGCGTCATCTAGATGCTTCTTAAACTCTGACAGGCTTGGTGCTGTGCCCACTTCACTGGGGAGCCTGTTTCAGTGACCGACCACCCTCTTATTGAAGAACCTTTTCCTAATGTCCAAACTGAACTTCCCCTGAGGCAGCTCCATTCCATTTCTTTGTGTCCTGTTTCTGGCCACCAGAGAGAGGAGATCAGCACCTCCTCCTCTGCTGCCCCCCTTGAGGAAGTTGTAGACTGTGATGAGGGCACCCTTGAGCCTTCTCTTCTCCAAGCTAAACAAGCCAAGTGACCTCAGCTGCTCCTCGTAAGTCTTGCTGTCAAGACCTTTCACTATCTTGGTCGCTCTCCTCTGGACACAATCTAATAGTTTGATATCCTTCTTATATTGAGGTGCCAAAAACTGCACACAGTACTCGAGTTGGGGCTGCACCAGTGCAGTGTTGAGTGGGACAATCACCTCCCTTGACCAGCTAGCTAAGCTGTGCTTGATGCACCCCAGGACACAATTGACCCTTTTGGCTAAGAGAGAATATCGAAGAGATCGAGGAGACAGACCTACCACCTCCTCTTCCTTAATGGTCTTCTATGACAAACTGTCTCCTCTGAATCCCATATTGAGACTCTGTTTTACTCATTAACTATATGAAGTGCAGATCCACAGCTGATTATTGAGATGGCTATGTCTAATTGCAAATTTAGCCTCAAATACCTATCCTGCTTTCCTGTTCAAATGATGTGCCAAACTGATTCAATATAACACAATAACAGATAAATTGATACAAAAAGTAAGAAAGGATGTTTCAGCAAAGGTCTGGTAAATATCTTCTTAGTGATTATGAGAATAAAATTATACAATTGAGCATTTAGTCTATCACAATACAAATGTTCTATATGTATTCTACACGAAACAACGTAAAGTAATAAAATACAAAAGAATTCTCAAAATATTTTTATCTGAGATAAAATTTTTAGAGATATTTTAATAAATATTTTATATCAATACTTTAAAATAAAATAATTATATCCTTCTGGTTGATTTTGCCACAATTATAAATAAATAATAAAAATTAAAATACATAGTTTGCTCTATGTGGTTGGTAGAGCTGAATTATAACTGAAGAATATTATACTGTACATTGGTAAAGACTACTGGACTGGGAATTTTTCAAAAATAGAAAAAAGACTATGAAAGAACTGTAGAAAATCCAGTTGTAGAAAGTTAAAGCTGGAACTCTACATTCCTCTCAATATTGTCATGCATCAGAAGCTTTTTGCTATCAGTTGCTGCTACCATAACCAAAACACAAACTGCTTAAATTAATTGGACTAATAGATGTCATTACAAAACACATATATTAAATGCAGTTTAGTATACCAACTGTGATAAGATGTTTTAGCATAATTTAGAAAGTTTTTACAGTCTTATAATATGATCTCATAGCTGAGATCCTGAAATTAAGAAAAGTGTTGTAGTCTAGACTGAAACTTTTTATAAAATTTGGGAACACCAAATATTTTAGAGCTTTTAATCCTTGCTTCATCACACCTTCTGATTTTTTATCAGATTTGTGCTCCAGCATTATTTGAACCGACAATGAAATACGATAATCTTATTATTGTAGGTACATATAAGTGAGCGTTTTGTAGCCAGACCTGTGATAGCTTTGCCTCAGCTCCAAGCATTTTGGACAGATGGACATAAGAAAGTGCTGCTCAGAAGGCTGTGTAGCTTTATTAATGCTACACTGTACACTCAGCAGGACTGGCCGTATTAGCTCAAGCATTGTGCCTTCAACTGGAGAGGGCCGCTGGCCAGCTGGATGGAAACCCGGGTAAACTGAACACAAGTCTCTGGAGAAGGTTGCACAGGCATGCCCAGTGTTACAAGTGTGCAAGCTTTGCTGCAGATTTTATAAGGATATTTTAAAATTCTGCATTTGGGACCTTAATGCAGCAAGTCAGCCACCACTTGAGCAAAACTATTTTTGAAGTAACAGGATATATTTTAGAATTCTAGATCTGTACGTATCCTTGCAGAGAGAGCACTTCAATTCAGTTACTAATTATAAGGATTGTCAAACATGACACAAATACTCAAGTCATTTTTAAAATGAAAACATAAAATGAATAATATTTGGAGAGGAAAAAAAAGAAAAACAACCAAATGATCCTTTCAAAAGGAAAAATCAAGTAACTTTATAAAAGCACACCATCACCATGTCTAGAAAGCACTTTTTACTTGCCTGTAAATTGAACGCTTCCAATGTAACTTAATGAAAACCCTGTTGGCATCATCCAATTAAAAAATAATTCTTCCAAGGGGTACCTTGGTAAAGGCATATCAGTCTTGGACTGCCAGCTCAGTTTTTGGTTTTTTTTCTTTAGGTGGCTAAATTCTGTACAAGACTGAGCCCTAGGCGATTTAAACAGTGTATGTTTATGCATCAGATTAACTAACAATTGAGAGCTTTCTACTGATTTTTACATTTCCAACCTATATGGCAAATTTACAATGTTTTTCTGTGAAAAAACAGCTTTTTTCTTTCTCTCCAGAGAATTAATGTTTAATGTTCCTTACAAAGAAGGAGTTGGGTTTCAAAACAAATAATAAAAATGCACAATTCTTGTAATATTGTATATTTCATGAATTAAAGCTATCTGGCAAAATAAAAGCTAGAATCTGTAAGCAGCATAATCACAGAATCCCTTTTGGAGTAACAAACTACCAAAACTAGAAAGGAAAATGCCGCTTTAAGACAATACATCACTGAAGCACTGAATTCTAGATATTGTCTCTATACCTAGTTTGTACCTACACCTATATTTAACTACCACACAGCACTACAGTGTATTAGAACATTGTGTTTCATGATACTGTTTACTAGCAATTTTCAAGGTAGATAGAATACATCATTTAAACTTCTCTTTTATAGTAAAACACATGCCTCAGTAGTATACTCTAGTAGACTACTAGAATATTCATTCTTTTGAGATTATCAGAGTTGCTGTCCATTAAAGTCAAGCACAGATAAAGAGAAAGGTAGGTAAGTGGGAAGGTAGGCAGGCAGGTTTTTTTTACCTTGAACAACAAAATTGACAGCCTGCCTCTCTGCTTGAGTGCGTAGTTTGTAATCCTGCGCATTGATATTAGCCAGTGGTCTTTTACGTCCCATTATGGAAACCACATAACCTTTTAGGATTTAAATAGAAATTAGTATTCTTAGAGTGATTAAAATTAAATTTCAAAAATTCTTTTTGAATATAGATTTTTGTAACTATGTGCTGCCTGAGCCAATGTCATATTTTGCCCTCTGAAAATAGTCAGAGCTTCTCTTATTTAAACCTTAAATGCTTATTGTATTTTTGGTCTAAGAGTCATTTCATTTGGAGAATTGGTACATGTTATACATTAGAGCTGTATTTTCATTAGGAATGTCTACTGATATACCAGCAAACTCTCTCTGTGGGAGATTAAACTATAAATACCTAGCAGAATTAGCTATCTATTAGCAGCCATAATTAGAGCTTTCCATGCAATGAATAGTGTACTTGGGAATAGCAAAGAAAAATCAATTTGTAGAGCAATTAAATCATTAATGAATATTTCCCAAAATGATCAAATAGTTTTTTGGGAAAAAAAAAAAAAGTTATGACTTTTTTTCCATTTTCTTTATGTGATATTTTCATGTCCCTTTCACAGCCAAACTTTCTTAAGTCTAGTGTGGTGGGGCTTTTTTAGTTTAAAAGAAACACATGAAGACACAGTAAAAGCTTTATGTTAGGCCTAATGATGTATTTTCCCAAAGTTACTATTTTGGAGGGCAAGAGAGGAGTTGTGAGAGGAAAAGAGATGTAAGGATCCTCTTGTCAAAATAACATGCACAAAACCTTATCTCATCTTATCTTCAAAACTAAAGTTCTTTTCATATTTTAAGGAAAATGAAAAATCATCCATGTTAAAAATACATCTTCATAAAATCTTTCGCTATAAATCTGATCACCTTGACTATCCATGAATTGTCATTACATACCATGGAAGTTCACACTGCCACAGAGTTTCATCTCCTCTTTAGCAACCAAGATGCACAAGCACATGTGGCAAAGAGACCTCTCCAAACACAAAGTTATGACCTTGCTATGGACAACACATACCCAGACTTACGTGCAAAGGATGAAGATGATTCTCTTGAATTAAAACAGCTTTCTGCAAATTAGTATATTTCCAGGAGCGCTGATACCAAAAGAACCAGTTTTGGAACAAGGAGCCGAATTATCTGGAGGTTAGGGTATTCTTTGGCAAATCAGTCTTCCTAATTTAACTAAGATTTTCTATGAAGAACAGTATCTAAATATGGAATTCTTGAAACTTTGGATTCTCAGGGAAAAATAGATTTACTGTAATATCCTTATTCCTGTCGTATGTTTCCACAACAGAATCACCCTTGCAATACCCATAGCTGATTAGCATTCTTGAACAAATACCATCTTTCATATAAAAGTGGCAGAGTATGCTTCTGTGGTCAAAGATTAATCTGCAAATACATATTTGAATGAAGTCTTAATGTAGTCTTTTTAATACATTGATCATTTCATCAAATAACAACAATATAATAACATACATACTAATAAAAATACTTTCATCACAAATGATTATTATCTGTTTATCATGTCTACATGGAGTATCAGACATTCATAACACCTGAACACTGTTAGTCAGTTTGATGCTGTTCACCTTTGAACTGTAGAGAAGTAAAATGAAGTTACCTTATAATGAGCTCACTAGGTTGGAATGTTTTTGTTGGAAAACTGGAATCTGAGGGAATGATTGATACACGGGATTGAGAGGAGGAGTAAGTACTAATTAGACAAGTGTGTTTTGATGACAGTCAAGGACATTAGTTATGACACGCTTGCCTACTAAACTCATAAACCCAATTTTTTATCACAGAGGTTTGGTTATTGAAACTAACTCACCTTTAAGAAAAGAATGCTATGCTATTTTAAATAGATCAAAGAAATAAATAGTAAATGTGTAATATTTTGCTACACATGTAATGTTGGGCTTAACTATAGCTCAAAATAGATTTTCAGTAACTTCATTTTTCTTTAGTAATATTAGCGAATGAAGGAATGCAACTGTGTGACACAATGACAGTTCATGCTTCCAGTAGATTTTAAGCCCTACAAAGAAGGAATACTATTAATCTACATTACAAGAAATCAGTTATATGTTTCTATCATGACACTCACCCATACAATGATGGGTAATATTATATTGTAAACTTACTATTTATTTCTACAAAATGTCTTAGCACTGTATACCATACTAAGAAACGAAAGAAATCCATTTTGACAGTTCTGCTAAGAAGCTTTTAAAATAAAATATTTCAAGCAGCTATATTTTGTCTCCTCAAATTACTGCACTCCTAGGATTCACTAAATATAAATGAATATGTAGACTAACAACAAATTTGAGGCAAGAAGAGTTTGCAGCTGCTGGCTCCAAGAAGCACTTTGCACACGTGTTATCACAGATACCACCTGAACTTCAAGAACATAAGTTCTGACCGATGAAAAGAAAAAATACATTAAAAAAAAAAAAAAGGCTCTGTAAATTGTCTCTGACTAAATGGCTGAACTTCCATGGTCCAGCAGCCATGTAGCATATTTATTAAGCAAAAGATTCCTTGGGTTTTTTTGTGTTGGAGTACATTATATGTCAAAATGATGCAGTGTAACTTGACATTAAGTAGGGTTCACTCTGGGAACAGACGTCTTATTTTGTTAGCATCTTTCTGAGAAAAGGCAGACAGCTTTAACCAGCTCCTCTTAGGGTTAAAAGAGAAAAAAAACTGATTCACCAAGAAATGATATTCCATCTTTTTTTCTTGTCCTGTAACTATTTGAATTTTGGTGGAGTTGAATCTTTGTCTTCACCACTGTCACACAGTGCTGACCAATAAACAAAAATATGTTTACAGACTTTGGATTACCTTTGTTTCGGCATTGCTCAATGGTTTTCTTTGTAAATTCATGTAGTTTCTTATATTTTTGCATAAAACTGTCTATAAATTGACTGGCATGAAGAGAAGTAATTCCCAGGCAGTCAGCGAGACGTTCTTTACCTGGTGGTAAAGAAATTATCTTTATTATGCAATAATGAAAAACAGAAATCCACTACATAGAATAGCACTAATTCACAATTAGTGGAATTAGTTAACTTCACTTATGTCTATGAAAGAGGACAGATCTGATATAATACAATCATACTTCAACAAAGCGAATGTTTAACTTTGAGCTTGAATGTTTTATTGAAGTTACTGAATTGAGAATATACTTAATAGGAGCTATATATGAAGTCTGTAAATAATAAATTCCTAGTTATAATTTATACCCATAACGTGATTGAAATCTCTTTTGTGGAGATGTGGATGGTTGAGTTAACTAGAAGTTTTAGATTTGGTGTAGAAGTCACAGAAAAAACTTAACTACTGAAGCAATCAGACCAAGTACCCTGATTTTAGAAAGGCCATTACGAGTCTGAGTCCCACAGATTTCAAACAATCTTAAGTTCCTCAATGTCTGTAAAAATCTGGGTCCAGTTGTGAGAAAAAAAAGGTTGGAAAAAGAAAAAACTGAAAAAGTGTTTCAATAGAGAAAGAAAGGAATAATAGCTTTTGGATAGGATATAGGTGCACAAAATACATTATGTTGGATCTAAGAGCATTTATAAGATAAGGTGGAAAAAAGCTGAAGACAGTTTTCCACACTGTGAAAATATAAACTAAAAGCTATAGTTTAAACACATTTAGAAACCAAACAGTTCCAGTAAAAATAAAACACACACCAACATTAGTCATATGAGGTTTGAAAGACAGATATATTTATGTCAGCTGCACAGCAACACAAAACCAGCACAGTGTCTGCAAATAACATAAGATGAGAGGTGACATCTTAAGGCACCAAAGGCATTGAATAGTTATTGTCACACTAATACTGTCAAGAAAAATTATCTAGCATTTTTGAAAGAGAGAAGATTTCAGCCACCTAAATGCCATCACTGTCAGTCTGATGTGCATTTTGGAACAATTCTGTAGCATTTTGTTCTCAGTCATGCCAGGATCTGCACTGAGCTGCAGGAATACCAGTCCAGACAAGATGCCAGAAGAAGAAATTCACAAGACATCCAGGATGGCTCTTGCTGAGCTATTATAGGTCTGTACTTTTATTTGACATCTAATTAATTTGGGGTTGCTTCCTGGGTCAGCAAATGACAAATCTCTCTGCTAAAGCACATATTGTTAACTGCTGTGGCTTACTTAGAGAACTGCAACATCTAAGTTTGTCCATGTTATCCATCTAAAAACTATTGATATACAGAAAAAAAGTATTGAATAAAACAGTAGGAAAATTAAGCCACAATATCAGTAAAGAAGTCTGAAATGTTCCAGGAAAATTCAGGTCCTGGGAAGCAAAAAGAGGGGAATGTACAGCCACATAATTGTGTTAGATCACATTCCACAATGCAGTAGCTTAGGGCCATGAGAAGCAACACTCAGGTGTGGACTAAAGCTTTCCTGAGCACTCTGCTTGAGCTATCTGTGCCAGGGGAATTGTTAGCAGCAGCCTATGAGTTGTAGTGTTCTCCATTGTGTAGTACCATCTTTCAAAACTGAATATATCATTAGTTTCTCTGTTTTTCATTTAAACACCTTGACATCCCTCTGTGTCAATTCAGGGCTTGAACATACTGCCATTAAATGGAATAAGTTCGTTATTTTACAGATGTTTAAGTTGTCTTTGTTTTAGTTTTAAAAGATCACTGAGGCAAAAGCAGGTGAATTGAATTGCTCCAAACCAAGCAAAAGACTGTAACACTGTCATCCCTCTCGATATTTGGTGTATTCATTAAAGTACCAAATCCTAGACATAATGAGGCTCTTCTTTCTTTATTATACTATTTTCTATCCTCCAGGATTATGGACAAGACCTTGAAAACATGAACCAAATGTAACCTAAAACTAAGAAAGCAGAAAGAAAAAAAAAAAAGATTACTATTCACTATATGAAAGATTTCCACTGACTCTGTAAGCATAATAGAGGCAAACTCCTCAGGGAATGCTTCTGTATTTTTCAATCAGAAAAGAAGTGAAATAAGTATTAGTCACACTCTTCAGTTGTATCAAAATATCTCCGTAATGAAAAGTTAGCCATTATTTGAAAAGAGACAAATTGGGTGGAATCCAGTCCATCAATTTCAGGTATCTAATAATTTTTTTTTGTCAGCCCAGTTTCCATCTAAATAGTTTAATGATAGCACTCCGTGTTATGTCTTAATTAGGATCTGATCACACTGCCAATGAACTGAAGCATCTTATTATCTTTCAGGTGCTTCAGCTGCCCTCATTTGAGAGAGAGGGAGACAAAGTACAAAGAAGTAAGCAGAGATACTTAAATCAAGCACTGTTGCACTAAAATTTTTAGTGCCTGGTACACAGCAAGTGAGGGAGTGCCGACCTGCTTAATCTAATCATCTAAGTTCTTTATAGCATAGACAGACGTACACTCTACAGAGGGAGGCTCTAGCCCCAGTAACTGAGGTATGTCCTTTTCCTCACTGGCTGTATACAGAACTACGGGGCATTCAACTGGTGCTGATTCAGTCTGAGTCAGGTATCTGCCTATTCCACCCAGAGTGAAGGGAACAGGTAGGAAACGTGTAGCATCTGCATGGACCAAGGGGCAGGGGTGCTAATGCTTGAGTTCTGTAAAACAATCTAGTGATGAAAACATTCAGGCTGGAAATGGGAGATTTGATTCCAGTCTCAGCATGGGAAGGTCTGAACTTACATTGCAGGGAGTTAGTGCCAGGCTTTTTAATTTAGATTTTAAACAAACACAAGTGTTTAAAATGCAATACAGCTTAATGTAAAAATGCACATGTGTGTGTGTATATATATATATATACACACTTTCTTATCGTAGGATAGAATCATAGAATCATCTAGGTTGGAAGTGACCTTTAAGATCATTGACTCCAACCGTAAACTTAACACTGCTAAGTCCACCACTAAACCACGTCCCTGAGCACCACGTCTTTTAAATACCTCCAGGGATGGTGACTCAACCACTTCCCTGGGCAGCCTGTTCCAATGCTTGATAACACTTTCAATGGAGAAATTTTTCCTAATATCCATCCTAAGCCTCCCCTGGTGCAACTTGAGGCCGTTTCCTCTTGTCCTGTCACTTGTTACTTGGGAGAAAACACTGACCCCCCACCTCACTACAACCTCCTTTCAGGTAGTTGTAGAGAGCAAGATCTCCCCTCAGCCTCCTTTCCGCCAGGCTAAACAACCTCAGTTCCCTCAGCTGTTCCTCATAAGACTTGTGCTCTAGACCCTTCCCCAGCTTTGTTGCCCTTCTCTGGACTTGCTCCGGTACCTCAATGTCCTTCTTGTAGTAAGGGACCCAAAACTGAACACAGTATTTGAGAAGGGGCCCCACCAGTGCAGAGTACAGAGGGACAATCACTTCCCTAGTCCTAAAAAGTGACTGAGAGTGCACTCAATCCCCTTGTCCAGGTCACCGATAAATATATTAAAGAGAACTGGCCCCAGTACTGAGCCCTGGGGAACACCACTTGTGACCAGCCACCAACTGGATTTAACTCCTTTCACCACAATTCTTTCAGCTCAGCCATCCATCCAGTTTTTTACCTGGCGAAGAGTACAGAAATCCAAGCCATGAGCAGCCAGTTTCTCCAGGAGAACGCTGTGGGAAACGTTATCAAAGGCTTTACTGACGTCCAGGTAAACAACATCCACAACCTTTCCTTCATCCACTAACTGGATCACCTTATCATAGAAGGAGATCAAGTTTGTCAAGCAGGACCTTCCTTTCATGAACCCATGCTGACTGGGCCTGATCACCTGGTTGCCCTGTATGTGCCGCATGATGGCACTCAAGATGATCTGTTCCATAACCTTCCCAGGCACCAAGGTCAGACTGACAAGACTGTAGTTCCTCCTTCCAGCCCTTCTTGTAGATGGACATCACATTTGCTAACCTCCAGTCAACTGGGACCTCCCCAGTTAACCAGGACTGCTGTCAGATGATGGGAAGTGGCTTGGTGAGCACTTCTGCCAGATTGCTCAGTACCCTTGGGTTGATCCCATCCAGCCCCATAGACTTGCGTATGTCTAAGTGGTGTAGCAGGTCCCTCACCATTTCCCCTTGGAGCTTATGGGGGGCTCACCATTCCCCCTTATGGGGGCTTTATTCTGCTCCCCATCCCTGTCATCTAGCTCAGGGAGCTGGGTACTCAGGGAGCAACTGGTCCTACTACTAAAGACTGAGGCAAAGAAGACATTAAGTACCTCCGCGTTTTCCTTATCCTTGGTCACTGTTTCCATCCCTGTCTAATAAAGGATGGAGATTATCCTTAGTCCTCCTTTTATTGCTAATGTATTTATAGAAACAATTTTTATAGTCCTTAACATCAGAAGCCAGATTAAGTTCTAGTTGGGCTTTGGCCCTTCTAATTTTCTCCCTACATAGCCTCACAACATCTTTGTAGTCCTCATGAGTGGCCTGCCCTTTCTTCCAAAGGCCATAAACTCCCCTTTTTTCCCTAAATTGCAACCATAGCTCTCTGTTCAGCCAGGCCAGTCTTCTTCCCCAATGGCACATGGGACAGCCTGCTCCCCCAGCTTTAAGATTTCCTTCTTGAAAAATGTCCAGTCTTCCTGGACAACTTTGCCCTTCAGGACTGCCTCTCAAGGGACTCTGTCAACCAGGCTCCTGAAAAGACCAAAGTCTGCCCTCTAGAAGTCCAAGGTGGCAGTTTGGCTGACCCGCCTCTTTGCTTCTCCAGAAATAGAAAACTATCGTTTCATGATCGCTATGCCCAAGACAGCCTCCAAACTTCACAAGTCCTTATCTGTTCACAAACAACAGGTCCAGCAGGGCACCTTCCCTAGTCAGCTCCCTCACCAGCTGTGGCAGGAAGTTTTCTTCCACACACTGCAGGAACCTCCTAGACTGTTACCTCTTAGCTGTATTGTATTCCCATCAGACATCTGGTAAGTTGAAGTCCTCCATGAGGACAAGGGTTAGCAATCATGAGGCTTCTCCCAGCTGCTTACAGAATATTTCATCTGCCTCTTCATCCTGGTTTGGTAGTCTATAACAGACTCCAAGCATGATATGAGCCTTGTTGGCCTTCCCCTCAATTCTTACCCAAAACCACTCAATGCTATTGTCACCATCATTAAGTTCTAGACATTCATAGCACTCCCTAACACACAGGGCTACCCCACCATCTCTCCTTCCTTGCCTATCCCTCCTGAAGAGTTTATAGCCATCCATTACAGCACTCCAGTCGTGCAAGTCATCCCAAACATATATATATGTGCATATATAATCTATACACACCCCCACACATAAAATAGATATTCTGGAGGGATGTAATTGAAGCGTTTTTCTCCCCTTCTCAGTTGAATGCCCTAAACGATAAACTGAATGCCCTGGGCCAGTTCTGCATTTGATTCAAGGACTATTGATGAGTCACTGCAAAAGAGGGTTTAGAAAGCGTTTTCACCCAGGAACTCAAGATGTAGTTTTAAGTTCTTCCAAGTTAAATAAAGCCTGCAACCTAGAGCTCTCATTTCCTAAATGAGTTTTCCAAGTACTCACTTTCTGTAGAGCTTTTGGATTTCTCCAGAAGACCTACATAAAGTTTAGTTAGCTGTTCACTCAAACAAATTCACAAAAGCTTGTAAGCTGATGATACATATGATTCTGTCTTCCCAGAAAAGCTAATTCTAAGCATGTATAAAGCATAAGGAGAGTTATGCATCATTTAAGAAATGGTAGGCAGTTTTGGAAAGTATGCAGAATGTCTTGACTTATCTAGGACCTGGGCAGGACTTAGGCAGAATGGGCAGCAGTGCGGATTTTTGCAAGTTTTCTGCAGTTATGAAGAAATGGCAGCAAACAAAGATCTAAAGTAAGGAAATACTTTTATACTGTGAGTATGATTGAGCACTGGCACAGGTTGCCCAGAAAGGTTGCGGAGTCTCCATCCTTGAAGACATTCAAAAGCTGTCTGGACAGGGTCCTGGGCCGGCTCCAGATGTCCCTGCTTGAGCAGTGGGGGCTAGATCTGATGACCTCTAGAGGTCCCTTCCAATCGTAGCCATTCTGTGCTTCTATAAATGTGTTTTGAGACAATATTGGAGTTCTTTTAATTTCATTGCAGTTATTCTCATCTCTGCCAATATACTGACAGAATGCAAAGTCCACTCAAAATTAACCTCATTTTGGATAAAGACAAATGCTTCAGCTAAATCAGCAGCAAATAAATAGTAAATAAGAGTAATCTTTGTATATGTCAATGCGGTTGTATAATTTGATAATTTTGATACTGGGTAGATCATTTAATAATCCCTGATAAAAATAAAAATGTAATAGTGACAAACTTTTAGTCACCTTTAGAAATTCAGTCTACTTACATAAATTATGTATAAAGTATGAATACACTGTAGTTGGTTGTTTTTCTAAAAATGCCTACCTGCTCCATAAATCACTGAGTAAACTATACGCTTTGCTTGCTCTCTATCAGCATGTTTCACTTGTTCACTCGGAATTCCCTTCCTAAACAAACAAATAAAAGTCATACATTTTCAGTTAAAATTAATTTGTTATCCCCACAGAAAATGTATTTAAAGTCAATAACCACTTAATAACTACAGACTTTTAAGATACCAACAGAAGCACTTAAGGGCTTTTGTCTTCGGCTGGGAATGCACAATTTCTTTACAATTTTCGGTGGTGATAGTCCATAGTAAATGAAACTTTTTCAATCTTCATCTTCTCCTTTCGTTTTCTTTTTAGTCAAATTCTTGGCTAGGAAAAGTCCTACTACTATGTTATTAGTTCTTTAGGTTGAAGAGGATTCAATATTGATCGATAAGAAAAATTAAATCTTTCCAGCAATAGTATTTCTTCAAGACATGTCGTATATAAAGACTCAAAGCATAAGTCTGACCTAAAGCTTATTTAAACAAAGGTTATATCAGGGCTTCACTAATAGGAATATCAGTCATTATTCTTGATAAAAAGTTGGATAAAAGCATGCACTGAATCTCTCCATGTTTTACAGAGCTCGACAACAGAGATGCTTCACAAAACCACAGCACTGGCTATTTCTTAACTAGTGAGCAGAGGTATTTTACTCCCAGCAAAGTATCATCCTTCCCAGTTCCCATTCACTCACCAACTGTTGTGGTTTGGGCTGAACCGGCCACTGGGCGAATGACAGATGCTCTCCCCTACCTCTCTTCAGAGAGGCGGGAGACAGAGAGAGACAGACTTATGAGTTTAGAAGGAACTAAACTACTTTAATGAAATATTACTAATAAAAAGGAAATAATGAAATATATACAAAGCCAGATCAAGCTCCCAGGATGACAATCGCATCACCGGCTGGCACTGGGGAAGTCCCAGACTGGACTTAGTGAGAGACGGGAACTGGATTCATGATCGGAATCAAAGGCAGACGAACAGACAGAGTCCTCCTCAGATACTGGCCATTGATGAAAGACAGCTGACCCTTTGATCCCTCAGCTTTTATACGGAGCATGACACAGATGGGATGGAATACCCTGTTGGTCAGTTTTGGGTTACCTGTCCTATCCGCTCCTCCCCACAGGTGGGGCCCTTCTACGCTTTTCTGCTTCCGACCCTCCAATGGAGCAAGTAACAAAGTTGGCTGCCTTGGGTGTTACAGCAATAAGTATAAGCAAGAGCCTCTCTTCATACCATTCCTTGGCATCAACTATAAACATTGGTCTTATCACTGAGAGCAAACAGCGTCTGCACAATATGCTGTTAATTTCAGTAGTGAGAAGAGGCCCAGCTAAAAAGTAAAGTTACTGAACAAATTTGGTCCTGTTTTACATCAAACCAAGACACCAACTGATGTAAATAGTCCTACAAAAGGGCTAGTGGATTTAGCAATTTTCAAATAAACAGCTAGGACTGTACAACTGTGCCACCTATGCTTTTCCCTAACCAAATGTAGCTTCAGAAAGAATGCTGACATTATTGACAACTGACACCACTGAAGAATATTGATCATTAGGTTTAAATGGAAGTGCATTGGGGAAAATCTCGATCATCTACTCACACTCTGAAAACAAATAACTACACAAATTGTATTTGGAACACAGAGATGAATTTCTGTCAGAGATACTTTATGACATATGCACAATTTGTGAATGTCTCCTCATGAGTTCATGATGATTTGGTTGCATTTTTAAAAGCAAAGTTTGCTATGCTTTGTTATGAAAGTTTTTCCCACTTACATCAATCATTCTGGCAGTTGGGTACTCTTATAATTTGCCACCTTAGTTATGCCAGGTCAAAAGTTCACAGCTCTTTTGAATAAAGTAGGTTGAGATTCCCAAATGTACCTGAATAAGAGGACAAAGTAGCAATTGGAGCTAATAAGTGCAGAATTAGGAAACTAGACATCATTAAGGATTTCCTGAAGCAACTTCTGGAATTTCTGAAAAGTCCACAGGAATTTCCTGAAGAACCTGGCAGAAAGCTACATATACACTTGAGAAAGCATCTATCCAGAATCAGGAGGGAAAATAGAATCTGATAAAGAGAGTAGATCTTACCTGAGGACCTCTCTGAGATGACCAACCAAGACCGAAGAATGTTGAAACTAGGGAAACGATACAAAATGTAATACTGCTTTCCTAATACTGCACAGTTTGAACTAGAGGCCTGGAGAAGGCAAGAGACAGGAGTACAGCAATAGACTTTACTTGCAGATTTACTCGAGTCTGAGGCTAGAGACAACTGAGAGCCAAGGGATCGTTGGGGGAGAGTACGTTAGCTGCTCACTTCTCCGAAAATGAATGACTATAATAGAAAGAACACAGTGGGTAAGAAGTCATGGACATCTGTAGAGGAACATACGTACTTATCAGATCATGGTACTGAGGAAGATATGAGATGAGAGTCTTGCTGGGAGGGACTGGTGGTTCTACAGAAGCTTTAACAGTGAAAGAAGACACTAGAATGAAGTTGATTATATGCACAGTGAGACCCACTGCTAGGATTATAAGGATGATTTTGCATTATCCAAGCCTTCAACTTGAAAGGGCTGACTGGAAAAAACAGAAATAGACTTATTGCTGTAATCATGACAGGCAGTGTCAAGAGAAGGATCCTGATTGTAAGCAATTGCAATAAAACCTTGCCTAACAGAGTTATCAGTACAGATGTATATGCATCACGTGATCATGGCAATCACAACAGTCACTTAGCATTTCCTGATCTTTGGTAGTCATGAAATACATGAGAAGCTATCAAAATTTCAGGGCTTTATTTCAAATATTTCTTTTAATATAATGCTAAAATAAAAAATGGTCAGTCAACACCTCCTAGTGTGTCAGAGTGGAAAATGTGAGCACTTGGCAGAGAGTCATTACATCATTCCTGCAGTTTGAGGTGAAGAATATTTATTCCTTTGAATAACAAAATGGAGGGCAGGCAATTTCTCAGAAATGCAGCAGTCATGTTAGAAATCCCCAGTGGCCTTTCTTCTTCAGCCTGTTTCCTCTACAAATAAATTTGTATTTGTGATAAAAAATTTGTTTTAGTGGGTACTGTGAGAACATATTTAAAGCTAAAACTTTTATTTTGGCTTTGGACTCAGCATGGAATACCACGATATTGAAAAGGAGACATTGTTATCTTCTTACTTGTGTAAAAAATTTTTAAGCTACAACCACTAAGCAAGCTATCTAACGCATGAAAACACTCAGTGCTGAATTGCAGTATGATGTAAAATAGATCTATAGTGGAGATGCATTGTTTTCAAATAAACTTGAATCTGAAAAAGGAAGCTGAATGGGCATAAAAAAGCCTTAGCTGCTGGGTCCAGACAGTGACAAGGAGGCAGACTTCAACTCACCCAGTACTGTATTTACATCTCAAGGAAAGGGAGGAATGTTAATGCAATGTAATAGAAATTGATGCAGGAAAAAAAAAAGCTCAAGAGAAGAAAGAATTCGCTGCAGATTTTGTTGTAGAAATAGCACAATTTCTGAAGTCCTACAGGAAACATATCTGCAGTTATTAGCTCTAGCATGAAACGTATTTTTCCATTTTATGACATCCTTCTCATTACTCTCTCACTCAAATATGCTATTTGTTCAAGTTCTAATCAATATTATCATCACCTTCAAATTCCTCCTGACTTGCCATCTCCAAATGTGCAATATTTCACCTCCTAACATTTCTGTCCTTGCCTGCATACTTGTCTCAGTCTATTTCCACATCTGATTTGTTTGTCCTTTACCTTTCTTCATTTAGTACTGTTTGCAATTACTTCACATTATAGTACTTTACTTGATACACATCTACTAGGTAGAATAAAGAATGGACTTCAGTGCTGGAAGACGTGCAAGTTAACAGAACTCATTATTCTTGGAAGGAGTTAGCAGAGCTAAACAGTCTGGAAAGGTCTGTGAGGACAGCAGAACAACTTACAGCCAAAAACTGTAGAAAACACAGTGAGAGCAGAGATATAAAAACTCTTTAAAAAGGTGGTTCTACTAAGAACTGGGCTGTATGCCTGAAAGAGAATAGCTACCTAATTCTTAGAGTGAAAAAAAAAAAAATTAGAGAAAAATTTTCTAGCGCAAGAGTGAAGAAGGATAACATCAAGTTATTAGTAAGAAACATACAGTGCAGATATGAAACTTAAAAGCTGGCATATGTCATTTACTACTTTTTCAGAGGTAATATCTTGAATATTTTCTATAATTTCTCCAAAATTCACTGTATGGTTGCATATATTAATGGGGTCTAATGGACATCTCAAGGAGTTTCTGCTGAACTACATCTTTAGTCTTTAAATCATATGAATACCAATTTTCCTTAACCCAAGAAAAATATGGCAATTGTATCTGTAATTCAAAAAAAGATTAACTATAAACTAGAAAAACACTTTTAATACAGTAATTTTAGTATGCAGAAATAAGCACACAGCATAAAGTATATGAACACACAAAAAAATCAAAGAGGCCACAGGGCATAAAGTTTGAGCAATGCCAAAATAAAACTTTGAGAACAGGTAGAAATGGAAGGAAATTAGTCTTAAAAGAATGCGATAAGACATTTCAGCATTTCTGGGAAATGTTGTATGGTGACGGAAGTCGTCTGCTTATGTACAGGAAAAGGCAGAACAAACTTCTCAAACACAATATCTGGCAGACATGCATTGCCTTGATCTGCATTACATTCCAGCCAAGCTAAGCTCAGTCATAATAGCCACAAAGCTCTTGGCCGCCCTCCTGCATCTGCCAATTAATCCAAGTCCTAACTGTGAGTTGTTGATGTGGGAAACGAGATGGAGTGCCATTAAATTAATTTTATACATGGTCATTAATGTCCAATAAATGAGTGAATATATGAGTGAATACACGTTTGTTCATCTGACTGCTTTTACAGCTTTTTTAAAATTTCATCAGTGAACTATATAAATCTCTCACTTTCAATCACCTGTTGCTATTTAATAGCAGATGAGGGTTGTACGTGTTCTAAGTTTGTGCCTGGAACTTTGTGTTGGCATA